TGTATGTTCAGAGTTCTGATAATGCTACACTATGTATGTTCAGAGTTCTGATAATGCTACACTATACATGTTCAGAGTTCTGATAATGCTACACTAGCTTTCCGTGGTTTTTTTTTATATATACAATAGCTAGACAGAGAAAAGATGTTGGATATGAAATGTTTTTTATAAAATTTCTAATTATATTGTAAAAATCATTTAGCTTAGGATTAAGATCGTGTTTTTTTTTAAAAAGACATCCTTCTTCTTGATGCTTTTTACTGACTTTATAGTAAAAGAAGAACTTATGTTTTAATTACAAAATAGTGTTTGGATATAAGGTAAATCGCTGAAACAATGTTTGTCTACACTGTACATTACTATATCGTGGATGACATATATTTCAGTTTGTTTCAGGGCTTTCTGTTTTATCTACACGTTTAACAAGTTGTGGGCCCGTATTCATGAAACCATTCTTATGCTCAAGCATCGGTTCTGTGCTCATACCAACTTTCTTGTAACCCACTTATGTCATATCAAACGGTGAAAAAGTAAATTGTAAACATTGAAAACAGTCTCTTCAATTTTTTTTCAAAACTTTAACAAAAAAAGAGTATATAAATAATTTGTAACCAGAAGAAGAAATAAGGCTTGAACACAAAATCCATGTTTAAGCATGAGAACGGTTTCATGAATACGGGCCCAGAAGTCAAATAACCTTTTCCCTGAAATCTGAAAGGTCATAAAAATAACCTTTACAACCCAAGAGTCAGTGCTCATTTTCGGGATTAAAACATACTCTTATGGTTCTATTGAAAGTCTTGATTTTTTTGTAATAAATTCGAGTTAATCATCAAATGGCGCAATCCTAATTATTCATACATAAAAAAGGACATACACATTCAACAGAAAGCGAATCAATGTCCTCGTTAATAGGTAACCTTGTAACTCGTTAATAGGGAATCATGTGACTCTTTAATGGGTAACCTTCCTTGTAACTCGTTAATAGGTAACCTTGTAACTCGTTAATAGGTAACCTTGTAACTCGTTAATAGGTAACCTTGTAACTCGTTAATGGGTAACCTTGTGACTCGTTAATAGGTAACCGTGTAACTCGTTAATAGGTAACCTTGTGACTTGTTAATAGGCAACCTTGTAACTCGTTAATAGGTAACTGTGTAACTTATTAATAGGGAATCTTGTAACTCGTTAATAGGTAACCTTGTAACTCGTTAATAGGTAACCGTGTAACTCGTTAATAGGCAACCCTGTAACTCGTTAATAGATAACCTTGTAACTCGTTAATAGATAACCTTGTAACTCGTTAATGGGTAACCTTCCTTGTAACTCGTTAATAGGTAACCTTGTAACTCGTTAATAGGTAACCTTGTAACGCGTTAATAGGTAACCTTGTAACTCGAACCTTTTATGGTACGTTAAAGGCTTAGTTTGTTTGAACACAAGCAGAAATTTAAAACTTCACAATTCCTGCTTTTGTTGAAATAAAATTTAGCCTTTATTATTCATACCAAACTGATGAATCTTATTCCTGATATTGTTTTCATGAAAAGCAAGTTCACATGATTTGATAGATAAATCTGTTGTAGCATTCAACTGTAAATTTGTAGCGTTACAAAGAATTCAATAGCCCCCTTTCCCCTACTGAATATCTACATGTGTTGTGGAGTATTTTAGGAATAGATATCTATTCCCATGACCTTTAGGACCTTATGATGAGTCCTAAATAGAAAAAATACTATATGGTGCAGTAAATGCATTTGTATATGGCTTTCTGTTTAGACTGACAGAATGGTTAAGTAGATGCTAACTTACTTCATGTTTCATGTAATTATTTTACAGAAAGGTAAACTTGCGAAATGCTGTGTGCCACATAAATAAGTTATACACAGGTACAATGCTGTGAATGAAACGTATCATAAAAGTTTAAATGACTGCTAAAGCTGATGATTCGATGACACATTTTCTGTGTCTATTTTGCTACCTATGAATTTTTAGCTATTTGATAAATTGTTGAAAGAACTGTAATCGACACTCATAGAAATAGAAATATATACATTTCCAGTGTAATTTGAAAGTTAACCCAAAGAAATGATCGTTATGTTATCAAATAACTTAGTCATATAACTAGTTATCTACGCTGTTGACATACAATATGATATGACGGTCATAACATTGATGTAGAAATAATTATACAGTGTTTTAATTGAAATGACTCCAATATGAATACCACATACAATCTGTGAGGTATAAAAACCAACGTAACTCCAAAATCATTACTACAGTGTAAAATAACGTTAAAAATTCGGATTTTTTTCATCAATATATCGTTTTAATCAGCAACAGCCGATGAGATCCGCGTGCAACATTATTAAAGTTTAAAAGGTATTCATAAAACAGGAAACATACATACCTTACACTTACGTACCTGATATCAGCGACTCCATGCCGCCGATCGTCGAAAAACACGAGCGTTATTGGGCGATTTGTTTTTAATAATTTGTTTTATTTTACAAAAAAAAAACAATTGTGAGGGTGGAACAGTAACAATAAATGAAATAGGATTAGTGGTTACATAGGATATAGAACAATTGTAAGTCGAAAACAAACAAAAATTATATCAGGTCAATGATGAGTTCCACAGGACACATTTACATTTAACACATATGTATATACCACACGTGGATATTACAACCACCAATCAACAAAACGCAATAAATTAAACAAAATGTTGATGTTAATGTATATGGGAAAATTGTTTTGTGAATAAGTACGACAAACAGTTTCGATGGTGCTACTGACCAATTGAGAGGACTTACCTATTTGGTCACAGTTCGTACCGCCATAACCTGTTGGGCATGCGCACGTGGACACCACGCCTGAGTAAGTACACGTGCCTCCATTCTGACAGGGGTCAGGGTCACACGGGCCTAGAAACAATAAATAACAGACAAGGTCAAATACAAAATAATAGGAATGAAATTTGATAAAAAGTTAAAGAAATAGTTATTGATTGATAAAAGTAATTCAAATACAGAATTCAAAATTTGCATTGAATATTAATGAAAATATCTCTCGCTTTACATTTACATCAATATATTTTTTCAAGAAGGACGAATTTGCGCTGTTCTGTGGAGGATAACAAATGGTATTGTATTTTTTTCACATGCTTTCTGCAATATTTTGGAAAATTTTAACCCCAAAAAATGGGGGAAATAAAAATAGATGTTAGCAATTCATTGACTGCACAATGATGATTGTTAATATCAACAAATTTTCAATTATTATATCAAATATATTCAATTAAAGATATGTAATGATGTCCGATTGTCTCTCACTCTGTCTGAACCTATATTCACTGACAAGGTAAAATAAATATACCAAGAGAGAAGGATACTTACGACAAAGCACTGGAAACAGCACATGAAAACAAACACAAAACACAACTTTTGAAAATATTTCAATAGTCAGGAAATCAAAATTGCATGAAAAAGGACGTATTTATTTCGTTTTATTTTAGAACTAAAATCAAATAAGTCATATCAATATAAGCAGTATCAATAATAGTATCTTGTGTTATGATAGAAACGTAAAACCCATGATTGCCGAAAATCAAAATATGTGAAAAGGAAATGAATAAATAAAATATAAGAACCGTTATTTAAATATCAACATCTCAGTAATAGAAAATATCGCATGTTAATACAATACAGATAATATAAAAATGTGTATTGAAATCCATGTTCCAAGTGAAATGTTCGTAACAAGATTGTTTTCGTTTAACCAAAACCTTTATATCTATGTATACTGGACTAAATATTACCTTTTACGTCACAGAGGTATCATTGTGTTAGCAATTCAATATTAATTAAAATATAATTGATGAAATGATTTATTAATCTCTTGTTAGATGGACAAATGTGTCGATCAATTCAGTAACACTAATCGCCGTTTGAAGTATGACGTATACCATCTACACATGGTGTAAAGCCAGCGCAATACTCTGGAAGGTCGAGTTCCTCGACATAGTTTTAGTATAAGACATTCGTCGTTCATGTCTCATTCACTCTGTTTGGGATTTTATTCAGATTCAGATTCTTTATTAGTCGAGAGTCATACGACTCATAGGCGCCGTCATTCAACTGTATGCATACACTGAAATTAGATTTTCAACCTTATTCATGTATATAGTGTCATGTGCGTTAGTCTTTCAAAGAGTGTTTAAAACTTGTAATTGGATTCAATATAATGATTTTGTAACCAACACTAAAATGCTACGTACCGTCAGGTGTTAACGTTGCTATTCCACCACCAGAGGGAGCTGTAGTTGGAGTTTGTCCTTTTGCGCAACTTCCGCTAGCCATGCTTAGTTCAGTAATTGAACCATTCATTTGAACGGCCTTTGTATGCAAAAGACAAAAATAGCGAATGAAGAGATGATGATTGGGCAGGATAAATAAAACATACACATCTAGCTCTCTGTTAAATTACTGAACTGACACGTTAGACCATATGGTTATAGAATATGTAATTGATACTTACAAAGCAGGTAAACCGGAAGTAGCTAATATCGTCAACAGTCCCGAGGTTAAGGGCAGACACATAGGAGACAGCACTGCTCGTGACGTAGTGTACACTGTTCAGCGTTCCCTCCTCTGAAAACAATCACCATTCATCTGATTTCGATAAAACTGTTTTAATTATAGATAACTCTTATTTATTTTCCTGATGATTTGAATGGTGATCGAGTACAAGCCATGATGCAACCAAGAGTTTCTGAAGAAGTATTGCATTAACATAATCTTATAACTATTTGTAGATTGCTAATTTATGATTATACGGTGAATAACATATAATTCAAAAAATGCCTTTTGAGTGCATGTTTCCTTCATAGGAGACATACTGGTTATTCTCTATAAGATATTAGTTATGAGGGTCTTGCATTCATTGACTGGTCAGATGAAACCTGGAATGAATGCTTTTCGTTCCCTTTTATATTGGAAAGATACACATCTTCTCATATCTTTTAAAATGTAAAACAATGATGAATACGTTATTTGAATCCGTCTTCAATTACTGGGAAAAGCATGACACAATCGCTTGTAAGAAATGTTACGGCTAATATTCCTTTAAACTGAAATATTAAATATGGTCAGGACTAATTTGAGATCCAAGAAAAAATGTTCCTTTAACACTTGCAATGCTACACTACGTGTAAATGTTACAATAGAACGAAAAAGAGTAAACAGTTTAAATGTCACAATAATCGAAAAGTTGGTATCACATTTGCACAGCTGTAAAGGTATTGAAATATTAGTAACATGTTTGCACAATAACGAACAAAGTCACAATACAGTCAACCATCGATGAAATGTCCCTCGTTGTATTTGCTATCTCGTTTACCGCTAACATATTTCAATGTCCCTTTTTCTCGTTTTCTTATGAATTCCCTCTCCATTTCCCTCATTTTATCGCCAAACCCCTTTACAATGCCAGGTTAACTCTTGGACAAATAGTGGCAGCATAACGAGGGTGCACTGCACTTTTTATACGCACGTGTAAATGCCACAACAGTGGCGCACTTGGTGTAGTCGAATGCCATCATCGTCCGATTGGCACACATATCCCATTGACTGTTTGAGGAGCAGGAGGTGGCGCCACTGCTGCTGGTGTAGGCGTAGGTGAATGTTCCCATCATATCTAAAGGAACGAACTGTCTGGCAGTCGCTTCATGACCTGAAATATATATAAAAATATAAACTTTATTTAGTTTACAACAATTATGAAAGTTATTTCAACTTATAATAATAACTGTTGTTGGCCCGGATGTACGCGCGGGTATGGTCTTAATGTGGGAGGAAACCGGAGTACCCGGAGAAAACCTACGTAATCGGGCGGTTACCCTATACCTTTTCACGTCCGATCGGGTAATCGAAACCCGTTCGCCTTGGTGAAAGGCAAGTGCACTATACAATGCACCAACCGACCACCCAACCACCCATGACCTGTAATGACGTCATCATTAATAACATATTTACTTGAATCAACGTATCACTACTGTGTTATGTAGACAGAGAAAACTCAACGTTGTGTTAGATTCACAAGTCTATCATTGACGATTGCTTAAATTAAAAAATCTTATCCCGTGGATTGAAATTTTTCTGTCTGCATCAAGCAGGAGTGATTGATTATTTTGTCTCACTCTTTCTAACCCAAAATATAGAAAAAAAGAAAACCTTTTGCACTGCGCCATCATCAAGGGCGAATGAAGCGTTTGGCAAAATTGACGAGAAAAGCAAAAGTAAAAAAAAAAAATATATATATAATAATCCAGCTCCACCATTGTTGATCAACACTCATGCTCCGCCCCCGCCAATCAACAATCAAATCAACAATCAAATCAAGAAATCAAAAGGAACAATCCTTTTCAAATAACAACTCAAACTACATCCTGTCTGTCAACGCTCTAGCTCCAACCATGTCACCAACCTGATTTGACCATCATGTGGTACTCCTCGGCTCCTGGGCCGGATGTGCAGTACTTGGACGTGGTGGACGATAGTGCTATGCTTGCGTCCTCTATAAATACCCTCATAAATCCGGCATTTGATTCCTCCTCTGTAAAAATAAGGCACTCAAATGATTTTTTTAAAAAAGTATAATAAGTATAAAAATTCCAGTTTTCATTAATGATTCTCTGTTGCCCAGATATGATATGTTGAACAAATGATCTATCGGATCATTTGAAGTTTTTAGCATAATTAAGAATAGTATTCACCTAGGACATATCAAAATCCTAATCATATCATTACATTTTTCTAAACGAGCGAGAAGTTTTCTGCACATAATCGCAAGAAAGTGCTAATCCGAAAAATACCCTAAGGGTTATACTGTGAAAGTAATAATTATGTGGACTTTATTTTTATCTAATTTTAACAGAATAGCACATTAATGAAATGGCACACTCACAACATATGCAATAAAGTATTATATAGAAAAAAATCAATCAAATTATATTGGATCATAATTTAGCGGTAAAATATAAAGCGCGAAACCGCTGAAATTGACACACCGCTAAAATAGGTCCGTTTACAGTATATGAGTTTATTACTTACTGAACATAAAGTAGTAGGAGTAGGAGTAGTCGGTCACTTTGTGCCACTTAACACATAAGTAAGCATTCTGACCGGCGCCAAATAGGTCCACGTTCTGATCACCTCTACAAGGAAAAAACATCCGACTGTTTAAAATCTCAATTGTTTTCAACGACGATGATGCTTCTCAAACTTACTACAATTCGAAATAAGTAATTTGTAAAAGCGTAAGACAGGCCTTTATATTAACTTAACCTTGAACTAGGCCCTAACAGTGAACAAGGCCCTAACCGTGAACTAGGCCCTAACCGTGAACTAGGCCCTAACCGTGAACTAGGCCCTAACTGTGTACTAGGCCCTAACCGTGAACTAGGCCCTAACCGTGAACTAGGCCCTAACTGTGTACTAGGCCCTAACCGTGAACTAGGCCCTAACCGTGAACTAGGCCCTAACTGTGTACTAGGCCCTAACCGTGAACTAGGCCCTAACCGTGAACTAGGCCCTAACTGTGTACTAGGCCCTAACCGTGAACTAGGCCCTAACCGTGAACTAGGCCCTAACTGTGTACTAGGCCCTAACCGTGAACTAGGCCCTAACCGTGAACTAGGCCCTAACTGTGTACTAGGCCCTAACCGTGAACTAGGCCCTAACCGTGAACTAGGCACTAACTGTGTTCTCGTGACATGGTAATTCTTGTGGCATATGTTTTCTTCGAAAGTTTTGGGGAGTTAAAAATCCTTGTACTCAACAAAACAGACAATATTTCGTAAAAAATGTACTCAAGCAATCTCAAAAACGGTATATACGACATTTGAGAAGTTAAATTGTTATCACATCATACGAAATGAAAGTTGTAAGTAGTCTGTTTTATGTTGTCACTATCCTAGTTCTCGGTGCGAGGATGTGAAATCACTTGTATATGAACTAGATTTTCATGGCGGATGTCATCGATGAAACAGGAGACGCTTACCCTTCCGGGAAACCTGGTCTTATTCTTCTTATTCTTTCGAAAGGTTCCATGGAAAATCATTTCCACTGTTCATATTTTGCTCTAGTGTTATCGATGTTGTGTTTGAATAATGGTTTGTTGACATGCCGGTATTTTCTCTCTTTTATTTATTCATTTATATTTTATTTGATTCCTGTGAATCGAAATAAGGTATAAGTTTTGTTCCGTAAAGATAAGTGTTTTTATCAATAATTACAATGAAGTTCCTCAACAAGATTGTATTGAGTGTCTTTTTATCTTTTATGTCGTCTAACGTAGGATAGATAAACATGGTCATTAATTATCACGTGTTAGAAGACATGTTTCTCCAATAACATTATCATTTAATCCGACAACCCCTTATACAAAAATCTCCTGAGATCCGCAAAGACCCATGGCGTCACAATAAAACCATTGAAGTCGTAAAGCATTGTGACGTAGCATTTGTTGTGATGTCAAAATTTAAAGATCATAAGCTATTTATCCATAAAACGCTTCCAATGTGTTTTCTACGTGGATGATACGTAAACGTTTCACCAATTATCTCACGTGGAAGGTTTTTATTGTGCAAAGGACTGCGGTCGCTTTCTAGCGATGCGCTAAAGGGAATTATCTTTATCCCTGGTGTAAGCTCACTGTTCTCATTCCAGTTACACACAGCTGTGATCAATGGGAGAAATCAACAATATTGCAAAGTATTATGAAATATGGATGCTTGAATGCAACTGTCGAGTGCGCTTTCTGCAGCCATATGACCATACCAACGATACAGAACTGTTTCTATTGTATACCAGAAATCGAAGCTTGACGCAATGGAATACTTTACAAATCCTCGTTCACACTCAATAGTAAATAAACATGGAGATGTTAGGTCTAACACGTCAATTCACGTATGTTATATTCCATCGATCGGATGAAACAGTTTCAACTTTAATGTTTGTCACTCAACTCTAAACAAATCATAAACAATTTATCAGTTGAGTATGCAAATAAGGTCATCGAGTTCGCCGGAAGTTCAATTTAGCCCAAAAATCGAACGTGGTAGGCCATTTCTCGCGGTAAATGGATATTATGTGTTTGTAGATAATAAATCAATATAATTAAGAGCACCTTGTAGCTATTCTATCTTTCAGTATCTAATTGCAGGAGTAATTATGAGTTGTGAAAATTTACACATTTAGGATACCGGCGTACTGAACATGACATAGTTAAATCGTTATAGAAATATGTGGAATAACGATTTATGAGACGCACATTTCATCCTTACAATCTGTACAGTTTGCAGATCATTTGTTTAGGTTGTTGCAAACTTTTTTCCGGTTTCCGGTGATGAAGGAAAACTTGAGTTGGTTATACAGGGTTTAATGTCCTATCAACAGCTAAGGTCATTTAAGGACGCACCTCCATGTGCGTTGTGTATGCGTGCATGAGTGAATGTTGCTGGAGACAGGATATGTTGGTGTAATTGCCTCCTTGTGATAGCGCGGATCTGGTGCCGACTTTATAGTGCTATCTCACTGAAATACCATGCAAAAGTCACCCATCACAGCATTCCGCCCGGTCACATTATACTGACAACGGGTGAACCAGTTGTTGCCATTACCCTATATAGCAAAAAAAAGCAAATCCCCAATTTTGTAGAGGTTTCCCTCATTAGTTGCCTCCTACAATACATACAGAGGGTAACAGAAGGTGTGTTCTTTTCTCGATCCCCGATCGGCGAAGGGGAAACGTGAGTATCGGTATATCTGGAAAACCAATAGTAATCCTCAGGTTATCTTAGTGCCATCAGTACTCGGCCATGTGAACGAAAATCATTTATATGATGTTTCCATTTCATTATACTAAGATATATGTTCATTCACGCGCCAGACAACCAAACCATGCAATTGCAACACATTCTCTTGTCAATTGATTTCATTGGCGACAGACTGGTAGCCGCTGTGACAAGTACACTCAGGTCTGCCACACTTGGAACCACTTTGCAGCCGATTGACAACCAGTCGCCGACTTAGTGATGGTCGACCACTACGTAAACCTCCTCACTGATCCATCACAGACGGGTCGTTACTAGGTTGCAAACATCCTGGAACTTTTAGGAATTTCGCTCACGTCTCCGCACCCCTTGCATATGCATGGTAAGCAAACTCGAAGGTTTACTGTAGGTTTAAGGTAAAACAAACTGACCAATCGTTAAGCTGACACCTGTCTTTTAGAGATTCTAAAGGACCGACGCCCGACATTAAAGCTGGTAAATTTTATCGTTACTGGCGCAATTGTTTTTGTATGTTCATCAAAAGGTCAAATTAGTCTTCTGTGCATTATCCGCAACGCGGAGCGTACACAAACCTCGCTTTCATCATGACATATTGTAGTGGACGTAAGTGACGAAACCCCTGGAAATTCGAGGATGGGTTGCAAAGTCAACAATCTCGTCGAAACGAAACCCGATTGCCGCACAGTCGGAACTAATGTGGGATAAAAATAGCATCAATGGGAGACCTCCTTAAAACCAACGAAACCTCTGAATGACTAAACTGGTCGGAGACAGTTGTTTTGACTGATTGCGACCGAATGGATTAGGCGACAGCTACGAAACCTTGTAGCGACCTCATTGAACTCAGACACTTCTGAATCCTCTTTCCGCAAATGGCTGGTCGCAAAGACATTGCATCGCTTTATATAGTCTGTGAATAGGGCTGAAATGACTAACTGTATTTTATAATGCAGGATGCGAAATCAATCGATTGCCGGAGTCTGTATTAGTAAAATGTTCCCGTGGTTTTTTTTTGGTTTTTTTTTTATATATATTTGTTTTTCAAAAAGGCAGATGTATCTTGAAAAGAAATATCACAAGTATAAAGGAATCGATATTTTCAAAATATGTTCATTATTCACTTTCATTTCAATCATTTTATTAATTCAGTGAGCTGTAAAACAATCCCCTCGTCTTCCCTGACAATCTATATTCACACATAATACTTAAACATTGTACTTGTTGTTCACCTAAACCTTCAATCTCGTGTTTCCGGATTCCATAAGGTCTGCTTAGGCTGATGGAATTGATTATATTCTAATAACTGTGTACCAACATAAAACAATTACCTCCCACGGTCTGGCCATTGTAATTGTTTTGTAAGTTTTTAAAACTACGCTTTGTTTTATTGATCTATACCACGCCGTTCCTGACTGCTAATAGATCTAGGCTGGTCCATAATAAATCCAACAGTGTTCTCTGTCAATATCGAAACATCCTACTTTAAGCCCATTAAGTGAAAATGTGATGGTACAATAGTGTACAAAATTAAAAACCATGACGGTGCATTACTGAAAAACACGACTGTTTAACTTTTAAAAAAAAATCATGATGGAAAAATACTGTAAAACATGACGTTTCAATTACAAGAAACAACATGACGACACAATACTAAAAAACATGACGGTTCAATTTAAAATACAAAAAAAACCTTGACGGCACAACACTGAAAAACGTGACGCTAAAACACTGAAAAACGTGATGCTACAACACTGAAAAACGTGACGCTACAACACTGAAAAACGTGACGATTCAATAATGATAGCAACAATACAGTACAATACTATAAATGCGACAGAACTATATTTTAACACAAGACAGTCCAATTACGTGAAGAAAAATAAATAAATAAATGCAACAGTGCCATTTTAAAAACATGCGACAGTTCAAAACTGAAAAACCACACATTACAATACTGAAGAACAAGACTTTATAAAACTAAATATAAAACTAACAAGCGAAACGGTAGCAACTTGAACAACTTTCGCCCAACTTCTTCTTTTTTTGCTCTTTTCGTCCATGGATGAGAGAATGAATTTATCACTTTTCTTCAGATATTTTTGTCTATTTTTCCCATAGGTACAATATCAATCGCCCCCCACGTTTCCGCATGCATAATCGAACCTAGTAAGTATATAATTATATTGTACGTTTCTATGGAATTGACCACATCAATAACGGGACTTGCGATAGTTGTTCCAAATTACATCACATGTAGTTTGAATAGAGTTGAGTTGAAAGGATATGTTTATAACATTCAAATGTCAGAATAAATTAGCGCGTAAACTTGAATTTCGCAATCGATTTTTCTTATTAATTAAAATATGCAAAGCTCTAAAACGATGTGTTAAGCACGGTATCAAATATGTAATGCATGCATTTTTTTTTTATATATATATTATTAACGTTTTTATATTCAATTATAGTGATTTGCTGCAACTGATTTTACCAGAAGTAATGATTTTGACAAGAGCTTTGATTATATCCGACATAAAAAATACCAAAGTAATGATAAACATGTTGATTTGCCACTATTGACGATCAGCTCCATAACTTTGCTGAAACATAATGGAACAACTGGCTACCAGGAACTATGCCATTACTATCTCGGAATGTTAATGGGTTAGTTTCGGAGGTCATACAAAACTAGAGTAACTGTTCTACCGCAGGCAATCTATGTAATATTTTATCAATAACTGGACAATCTTATATGGGGAGATGCAAATCTTCCTTTCCAAACAAATGTCCACATCATATGTGCTGTACCATCATTTATAAAATCAACGAAGAGGTTTAAAACCAACTAGTGGACAACTAATGCAACCTTAACGTTTTCCCTCCTGTCCCTTTTTTCACCTTTTCCCTCACTCTTTCCCTTTCTCCTTGCTGTTTTCATGTGAAGTAGTAGATTGTCTATTATATATGCTGAACTTTTTGTCATCACGTGTTCCCAATCCCTTTGATTGCTTTTTCTTCAATAAATTATGTTTGAATGATATGTTATCAATATATTTCCTTAACATTTAAGGATCCGCATCCGTTTAACATTTTTACCAACTTTAGAATAGCTTCACACAGTACTGTGAAGGTATGACATTTCTTTGTGAGGGGTTACGGTGGCCGATTGGTAAAGGCGTCTAACCGTCTACGATACCAGCCCTCCACCACTGGGACGCGGGTTCGAGGCCTAGCTAAGTGGAGCATTCGCCCGCTACTTTTCGCAGGTCGGTGGATTTTTCTCGGGGTGATCCGGTTTTCCTCCATCACAAAAACTTGTAAGTAGGACGTAAAGTACAACCAAGCAAAACGAAACGTGTCTTCGTTTGGCTTTCTTCATCAATCTGGCATGTTTTTCTTACATTTGGTTTGATCTCTGACTTCGTGTTTCTAGTGAATATGTTACAAAGTATACAATGATACATTCATTTTGCCCCAAAACAGTTAGAAATTTTTTGTAACTTCTTTCGCATTCAATTTAAAATTCCACGTTTATTATTTGCAATTTGAAGTAAGAGAAAATTGCAAATATGACGAATGAAAACGCTTTTAAACAATTATTTTAATTAAATTAAATTTTGATTTAATTATAATGATGTACATACTTACAGGATAATTGGCAACTTGGAATTGTAATCCTAATGATTTTATGTAAATTAAAGAATGGTATGCATGTGGATGTGGAAATGTATGACCTGTTAAAAAAATAATTGTGTGAGTAGACATTAATATTGTTGTGTTTTTGAACATCTATATAATATTATTGCTTTGTACTATACAAAAGTCCTACGTAAAGAGTTGGAGGGTTGATCACATTTTGTGTCGGCCTGTTAGGAACGCACAGTGTTGAGTAGATGGGAGAGAGGCATACAACACAATTAATCAATAGTCTTTTGCATGTGCATTTAGTTATGTATGTTTGTATGACACTTTTTGTGACATTTAATTTGATTTATCATTTGATCATCAAACAGTGCTAATTATGTAAGTGTTACTCCTACCCTGTCATTGACAGCACACGACTAGTCTGTGATAGCAATATATGTATGGTTAGCTTTTGTTTGACCGTAATCCATACATTATTTGATTTATCATAACTAAAGTTTGAAACCATTGTTGATGTTGAGGAAATGCTAACATTCTGGTTGAAAAATCAATTTAAGTCAAACGAGTCGAAATATTAACAAAACAACATAATCGACTAAGCCAGCTAGGATTTAGGAATCGACCAAACATAAAATGATGATGCTCTGTAATGCGTCGTTTTAGAAGAAACACTGATACATTATTTACACTGGATTGCATCTTTAATAATGGCATATATAGTCAAGACTCTGTCTTATGTGCATCATGATCGGTCTGTGTCGAAAAAAATTACATAAGTATTTAACACACAAAACGAAAATCAAAATTGTGTATAACGTATGGTCGAACTTTCTGAAAGCTGAGTTACAATCTTACAACTGTCATCCAAACTTCTGTGATACTCTCTTTTTTTAATTAGTGTTTCCTTATTGTGTACCTCTAGTGATAAGCTAAAGTACTATTTTGCTTCCTGTGATAGTTTCAGAATCGACTTATCTCTTTTTTAATTAGTGTTTCCTTATTGTGTATCTATAGTGATAAGCTAAAGTACCGTTTTGCTTCCTGTGATAGTTTCAGTAATTCCATGTTGTTTATATATAGTTTCTAATGTATCCTGAACAACCCTCATCACATATAATCCCACACATGTTCTGGCCTGGTCCTAAGTACCTGGACTTGATAATTGGGAGATGTGGCCTGGTCAGCAGTTAGGTGTTGCCTTAAGACCGTTTCCTAGATTGCACAAGTAACACAATGAGTCGACGAGTTGCATGTGTGATTCAGGAAAACCTACACTTCATTTCTCCACGATATTCTTACCTGAAAACGAGGTAATTATTCGACGTATCGTCCAATACGCATGTCCATGACGTCACGGACGAACTGTACGCTTGAACGTCCCAGCCAACCACATTCTTTGTTGAGTAGGTTATAGCTATGCTGCTAGATAAACTGTCGTACCAAGTACTCTCCCATTGGCTGGAGGGTAGAGTGCAAGCGCCATCTAGCGGAAGTAAACATACACAATCATAATTTAGTAATTAGGAGCCGTTCTGGTTTTTCTTCAGATCAGATTATTATTATCAGATATAAATGTCTTCTACTGACAGCGAGTTACTATCATTACGAAAAAAAATGATAAAAACTAACAAAAAATGATTTATTCAATATTTTATAAAAAAAAAAAAAAACACAACTCGAACATTTAAAAAAAAAAATACAATGATGAACAACAATCATATCAACAACAAAAAGGTTTCTGACGACAAGAAAACTACTTATAAATCGGGCTCCTAAATCTCACTAGTAAGCGATCTAGTTCATATGTATACAGATAAAAACGCGAATATTTGTAAGTTACACATGAGAAAAAAATAACGAGCCCAATTCATAATTCAGCGCGATCACTACCTGTAATATTTTGATTTAAAACATCACTATGGTCAAATATAATTGCTGCTGCCTGTCGATTTAAGATTTTGAGATATTAATTGAAATAGTTTGCATTTCAAGCTCAGACGCTAAAGTGGTTTATTATAAAGGGGCTTATCCTGCTGCAATGGTCGAATGCTTGGTATGATGGGTTTGATTTAGATTATGGGTTTGATTTAGATTGGGGTTTGATTTAGATGATGGGTTTGATTTAGATGGGGGGTTTGATTTAAATGATGGGTTTGATTTAGATGATAGGTTTGATTTAGATGATGGGTTTGATTTAGATGGGGGTTTGATTTAGATGGGGGTTTGATTAAGATGGGGGTTTGATTTAGATGATGGGTTTGATTTAGATGGGGGTATTGATATTGATACGACCGTTTATAGACAAGTGCAAATATTCATCTAATCCAGCAATGAATTTTAGATTTAAAATCGTGTTCAATTTAATAAGATTCCTGTTTCCATTGCGATAGTGCAATTGTAAATGCATGCTTAGAGAATGAGTACTATAAGTTGCAATAATCTTTGCCTAATCATTTACATTTTCAAAAAATAAATAATTAAAAAGCCCATAGCAATGTTTTAGATGTGGTTCCGATCATATGTAGAGTAATAATGAAAAATCGCAAAAGAGATTAGTCAAGTTCAAATGTGTTAAAGACATAAATGCTTTTAGATTAAATTACCATATGGTTTATTGATGAAGGAGAGCTTTGAATCGTGGAGCGCTAATCAATAGTTTGCTTTGTTATTCAGTGTGGCGGTGTTTATCCAGTCGTGCTCTTTTATACATAACATCATTTTATTGTATTGCCAATATTAGATTATTTAGATATCAATCCTTCCTTAGGTATAATATTAATTGATATGGAGCCTCCGACAAACGTTATCACATATTCATTTATTTTGTATAATATTCGGCTTGCTGTCAACGCGTGGTCCTGTCACCATAATGTCGGCGCCCACTTCAAGGATGCGTGAAATGGCAGCCACTGAAAGACGTGCTCCGAATGATTCTCGAAGAGAAATTAGTTTCCCATTTTTGATGCAACGAAATCTCATTCTATATAAGATATATATCATATAGTAACGAGCTTTCAATTGTATAAGATATCTAATATAGTGGTATGAGATATCTTACACATTATATAAGATATATCATAAAGTATACGAGATATATTATACATTATATAAGACATCTTATACAGAAAATTAAATTAAATATCTTATAAAGCATCTCATTTAATTTCTATATAAGATATCTTATATAGTTTTACGAAATTCGGGATCGACATTTCTCCTTGAATAAAAACATTAATGTGAAGTTGGCTTGCCATAACTTCTGGTATTTCAATAGTGAGAAAGAATGATCCCCGCTCAGCAGACTTTTTGTCTTTAATAAAGCTGCATCTTTACCGGGGATATTACATAATAGATTGAGATGATTTTATTTTACATCCAGATATATTTACTTTATTTATCCTTTAGGAAACGAGTATAAAGAAACCACTCTCTCGTCTTCTTAAGCTTTGTTTCCACCTATATCTATAGTGTGGTTTTATTATAACCTCATAAACATAATATTACAAGCGTGATAACTTTATTGTTATAATTGCTAACTTCCCTTTTCAAAGAAGTAACATACCACCTCCCTTGCTTATAGAGTTTACATATCATCCGTGGTGCGGTATTCCACGGTTAAATGTTACTACTGAGGAAAGGAAAAATCAACAGTCGTAAAACAAAATCCTCATGTCGTAAAACAAAATCCTCATGTCGAACATGGAGTTATTATCACAGTGTTGCTTAAATGGACTTCCCCACAACATTATCGGGAGTTCATTTTGAGCTTGTGTTAGCGCTGTAATACTGTTTTGGATAGTTCAATTCGAAGTGTTTTTACATTTTAGAATATACAATGATGTATTATCTACGATGTATACTTCTTCTATTTCATAAAGAATACGGCGTTATAACATTCATAAGAGCTACACGTGTACCGTATTGGTTCTGTTAATCACCTCTATAATATTTCAATAATTGCCCACGTCCTACTTCAGACGTTAAACGTTTCCAGACATTTTCCAATTCAATCACTGTTCTGAACTGTTCTGAAAACGTATCTAAAATCGCCCTCCCCTCAAGCACATGTCTCTTTAGGATTTATGACGTTAGTATTGTTAATATGAGTTCATATTCTAGTTTTTCATGCATGTTATAACTGCTGGAAATTTCTTTCTAATAATTACCCCATATCAACTTAAATATATCCGTATGAAATATATTGTTTCCAATAATCGCCCACTCCGTATATCTAGGATGTATAATTCTTCTATTTCATAAAGAATACGGCGTTATAACATTCATAGGAACTACACTTGTACCGTATTGGTTCCGTTAATCCGTATACATGAAAATAGTCAGGGCAATCTATAGGACTAATACGGTATGTAGATTATATATCCTTTGTCAGCGGTAAAGGGATACTTATGTGAATTGTCATATTTAAGAGTTGGAGATATTGTAATATATACTATAAATGTAGACAAAAAATAAACCCTTTTTCAGACATAGATATGAAATGATTCATTGAAGGATTAGCATGAAGTCATAACAAACGTGTTCACAGTGAAGGAGTGTGGTGTTGTATGAAATTAATCATATATGGACGTGGTGAAAACATGTGATTAACCCATATTAACTATTCAGACTGGATTATATAAACAAGATTACATGAAAACATAAATAACCCTAGTTGATATTTTCAAAAGAAAACTTGAATATGCAACAATATTTGAAATACAATATTGAATAAAAGAGGTTTTCAATGTAGTTATTTTTCAGTATAAATACTTCATATGCCAACACTGTGATAAACATGTCATCGAGGTCCTACCATGGTACATGTACAAGTACGTGATTAGATACAAAATAGTTCGGTCTGATACATGGTTTCACCAATAAGATGATCTTAGGACCATTATTTCGGTCTGATACACGATTTCACCAATAAGATGATCTTAGGGCCATTATATCGGCCTGATACATGGTTTCACCAATAAGATGATCTTAGGACCATTATTTCGGTCTGATACATGATTTCACCAATCAGATGATCTTAGGGTCATTATTTCGGTCTGATACACGATTTCACCAATAAGATGATCTTAGGACCATTATTTCGGTCTGATACATAATTTCACCAATAAGATGATCTTGAGGCCATTATTTCGGTCTGATACACGATTTCACCAATAAGATGATCTTAGGGTCATTATTTCGGTCTGATACATGATTTCACCAATAAGATGATCTTAGGGCCATTATATCGGTCTGATACACGATTTTACCAATAAAATGATCTTAGGGCCATTATTTCGGTCTGATACATGGTTTCACCAATAAGATGATCTTTGGGCCATTATTTCGGTCTGATACATGATTTCACCAATAAGATAATCTTAGGGCCATTATATGGGCCTGATACATGGTTTCACCAATAAGATGATCTTAGGGCCATTATTTCGGTCTGAAACACGATTTCACCAATAAGATGATCTTATGGCCATTATTTCGGTCTGATACATGGTTTCACCAATAAGATGATCTTGGGGCCATTATTTCGGTCTGATACATGATTTCACCAATAAGATAATCTTAGGGCCATTATTTCGGTCCGATACAAGATTTCACCAATAAGATGATCTTAGCGCCATTATTTCGACATATTATAAACACTACAGTCGGCGTAATTTACATTAAACTTGGGAACGTGAGATAATACAAAATTTGAAAAACAAAGTTGCCATGAAAACACAAAAACAGCTATCATTAATTTACAAACCTAATAATTTTAAAATCGAGTACACATCCAAACTGATGCATGAATGTCGTAACGAAAACATTTATTAATTACAGTATTTAAAATTATTGGTTTTGATCTTATGCTAATAAAGATATCACATGTCCATACTTTTTTTGCGCAGTTTATCATTGTTTAATCATATCCTAGTGCATGTATCGTATGTCCCTTCCGTGTCAAAACTAGAGGATATTTTGTCACAGTTATAATATCAAAGCAGAGACGAAACATACAATCAAACTACAACATAACGTTAAAACATTTAAAATTAGAACTGTTTAAATAGTACATGGATATGGAAAGATTTACTCATTAAGAATGAAATAAAAATATAAAACATAAATTTACTTACCAATTTCTGACGGAAGCAAATTTAAAACGGAAACAAAGCATACGAAATATATCCAAATCGCTTTCATTCTGAGATCAGTTTTGGTTTGGTCACTGGACCTCACTCCCATCATCATTACACGAACTCCACATGGTAAAGAGCTTGTCAGTAAAATGAAAAACGGGTTGGAATAAAAATCAATGCTGTCACTAGGGCCGATAGTTTGTCTCTGAATCCTGTATAGATTGTCACATTGCTATACTGGAGTCTCGTCGCTATATAGGAGGAGAAACCTACAGGTAGGCACGAGGCATTCTCATTACAATGTATCCGTTTATGCCGGCAGAAACGTAGTTTGTATTCACTTTACCGTTACATCAATACAAATCTTCCTAACTGAAGTACAATATACATGTGCGTCTCTTAAATTAATAAAATCGGTTATGCTGTTGATCAAAGTGTCGCAAAATTGCAAAATCAAAGATGAAAAAAACCGGGCAAATAAGGATAGCAGATGATTCTGTGTAGATCCCTTAAAGCAGAGACGTATATGGCTTTATACGTCTCTGCTTAAAGTATGAGGCGACTAATGTTTATCCCTAAAGAGCCTGGTATTGTCTTCTGTCTTCCATGTGGGGGACGTTTAGAAGACTAACTTCTCTAAAAATAACTCGAAAATCAAAGATTCATAGGACGCGCGGACGGGAAAAGATCATGGTCATTTTGGGCCTCAAATTAACCCAGTATAATTACCTGAAGAAGTAGCAAACCAACCAGCGAGAAAAGACACCTTGTACTTGTGTCTGCAATATACACCCGGTGTGTCGGATCTCTTAATGACGATTAACCATTAATACCTCCCCACACAAAACATCACGCTGACTTTTTAAGCTGGCGAGCATACCTGTAATACGCATTAAGTGTCCAGTGCGAGGCTAATGAGTACCGCTGAAAGGTGACAACACTAACACGTTCAGATCAGTATAACAGCTGTAGAGACTCGGACATTAATGAGGAGACCTGTTTTAATAAGACCGCAGTATCAGTGGACTATAAAGTATACGTGGATCAAAAGATCAACTAGTGTATCTCAATTCTGAATGGTAAATCAGCGTTATTTCGATTTAAAAGTCACATAGACAACAGTAGAATGTAATAGGGAGCTCATTACGTGTGATCGGTGTGTGTTTATCAAACAGAAATGTTTAAGTGTTAAGGTGCATTTTCAGTAGACCTTGATTATCGGTTATGATACTAATACATATACTTCAAAAATATTGAAAACACTTAAACCAAGCAAGCTAATGAACATATGCCCTATAGTTCTGAAGAAGAAGTCGTTTAATGTTTTACCAGTTTTTTTTGTTTTTGTTTTTATCTCTGTTACATATGTTTAAGCGAAGTAAAATGGGAAATGTATTTATAAAATATTACAATAATACAATTTTGGCTACAGATATTTTTTTAAGTTAGTAATTTATATCAACCGTGCCGAAATATTATTGTTCACCGAATAATTATAATTTTGTGTACAATAATATTTGTATAGCCTGCTCGGACAACGTTTAACAATTGAGTAATACAGTTTATATCCTTATCTGACTAAATCATTCTATCACCAGAACACTCGCAGTACGCTAAATGTGAGTGTACAATTCTGTGACATGTAAATTAAGAAATTCAGGATTCGCAGATTGAATGTAAATCAAGCTTGCTGCACTCAACGGAAGTCGTCAGGTGGGAGTATTACTTAGGAACAGGGGTATAAATATGTAGTACACGAAGATTCCCCAACGATCTTCAGCTACATATGATTTGTATGAAAAGGGCACCTGGTCTTATTCTCCATGTACTTTATCAACAGTCTCCATGAAAACTTTCCTTTGTTCTTGATTTTATCGATTGTAAGTTCGACAATTCGATATTCTCTTGTTAGCTGTTTTATGTTATTGGAAATTTCGGAAGAATTAAGCATTTTGTCCATCATCTATTCAATTAAACATGCTGAATTGCACATTATGTGATCATTTAGACAGAATTCATGAAAGTAAAACATCACCAGTTTTGAATTACTATTCATTGGTATAATCTTTTTGACATGAAAAGAAAGGTAAATAAAGTATGCGACATTGTTTGTGTATTAAGTAAAACTTTGATATTACATATTTTCAAACGGAAGAATCTTACCGAAGATAAGGTGTTATGATACTGTACAATAACCTATGTATATAACTTAATGGTAGTAAGCTTGTCAGAAAATATTTACCTTGTGATACATTCGTCCTTTGTCCATAAAAACCATTTTGCCCAGTGATAATGTCATCCTTGAAAGTGCAATACAAAGAGACCTCGTTAACTGACAAGGTTAAGAGGAACCGTCGTTCATTTAGTACATGTAAGGCCACGGTACAGAGTGTATCAAACAGCTAAATCGTAAAGTGTCTTTCTATCAATTTAATAGTTAAACAGTTCGACTTAAAATTTTGTAATAACTATTTTACAAAAAAGTAGACTGTTTAGATTGCATTGAAATTAAAAATATTGTGTAAGAATTAATGAATTTTATATCCTTTTATTGTAGATTTATAAGAGGGTTATTGCGAGTTTTGAACGAACGGCGTATAACAATATACCAATCTTCAAGCGTTCAATTTTTCAATTGTTCCAATTTTCAAGTGTCAATATTTCGAAACGAGCTGTTTAACAGCACTTTTCCTCTGCCAGTTATATCAGAACAAGATGACAATAACCTGATCGTTTTAAAATAGAATAGCAGGCTTGTTCCACCACAAATTAAATTTTCTTTGAATTTGTACATCTATGGTAAAGATTACATTACATACAAGTCCAGGGTTCCGTTTCAAAAAGAGTTGCACATAAAAAATGCATGAATCATTTTGAGATATGTAGCCTTGACTTACGCCAGAGCTACACAAAATCAACAGCTTTGTGAAAACGTCATTTTTTTAAAATATATATTTGATTGCATTTTAATCCATATTAACTCAACTAAAACGGTTTATATTACCTATTTGTGATGTCTTTAGATAACAAGATACATGTAAACGTGACGACTTTACCATTGTGATCTTTCCCTTTCTTGATGGCAACGTCCATGTCCCTTCCTACGATTTTCTTCACAGGCGTTCGCGTTTTCCTTTTTATCTAACAACAGGAAGTTTCAAGAGATGCAAGTATCCGTCTGGCAGGTATTCCCCGACGCCGCCATGATCTCAAAAGTGAAAATTAAATTATTATCAGTGTTTTCGTTGTCACTTTACCGGTTCTCACAATAACGACTAAACATTACTTATTTGACTCAGATTTACATAGCAGGTGTTGTAGATTAAGCAGAATACGCTTACCCTTGGGGAACATCTGGTCTTTTCCTCCTTGCTATTTCTTTAGGATATCAACCTTATCTTTGTTTTTGTTCATATTCTGCCCTAGTACAACCGATTAGGAGTTTGCATTACACTTCTTTTTCGCCATTAAGTGTTCTTTTCTTGTTGCATTATTTTAAGACAAGAGGCTCAGGGCCCAAGTGGTCACCCGAGTTATATCCTAGGTACTGGTAGCTTTATTTTATTGTTTAAATGTAATGTGGAAATCAGCATGTAAACTAAGTGAAATACAATACTTGTCATGTCATCAAAGGATAAGTATGTTAGAATATTGGTAAATGTTCCCTTTGGGGCCCCCCTGCCCTAGCCCCTGGGGATGGGACAGAAATTTAACAATGTAATACCCTCATCCACCAAAGATGATTCTGACCAAGTTTGAATCATTTTCTGCTGAAAATGGATAAAATATACCCAAAAGTGTTATATATATTAACTATAGTAATCTTTCCCCCCTCCCCAAGGGGGAACAGATGGCTGGGGGTCCAGAAATTGACAATTTTAATAAAGCTCCTAATGATGTATTTACTGAAATTGACTGTAGTACCTCAAAGTCCGGAGAATAAGATTTTTGAAATATTGGTTAATTTTCCCTTCGGGCCCTGTTCTGGCCCTGTTCTGGCCCGTGGGGTTTGGGTAGGAATCCCAATTTTACAATTTGAAACCCTCTTCCTCCAAAGATAATTCTCACAAACCAAGAATATCCTGCAGAAAATTGTCAAAATATACCCAAAAGTGTTATTTCCCTATATAAACTATAGTAAACTTTACCATCTCCCCAAGGGAGAGAGGATAGCTCGAAGGTCCTGAAATTTACATTTTCAATAAAGCCCGAGATGATTTTTCCATCCATGCAGAAAAAAATGACTGTAGTACCTCTGAGTCTGGAGGAGAAAACTTTTGAAATATTAGTTAATTTTCCCTTTGAGGCCCCGCCCTGACCCCAGGGGTTGGGGTATGAATCCCAATTTTACAATGTTGTAGCCTCATCTAACAAGGATGATTCTGACCAAGTTTGAAAAAATTCCATCTGCTGGTTCTTGAGAAGTTGAAAATGTAAAAAGTGTATGCACGACGCACGATGACGGAGGGAAAGCGATCAGAATAGTCACTTGAGCAAAGCTTTGGTGACCTAAAAAGATAACCAAAAGCATGTAGTTTATTTGACATTTTCAACATTTTATTTATATATAGCATTGATCAATAAGTTTTCATATAATAAACAATACTTGCAACAAGAATTATTTCCCTTGAATAATAACATTAAATTAAGATAAGCTGATCAACAAGGAATCTCAAATTGTACAACAATGACCCAATTTCAAAAGTGTTCAGAAAGTACATTAAATAAATCGTATTCAAGGGAAGTAACTCTAAGTCATGGCATAATTTTAAAAATATTTATGACCGAATGGTATATGTAACATGGAAGAGATGGCATGATCACATTTCTCTCTCCTCTCTCAGCAAATAAACATGTACATTTTTCAAATACAAACATACAACACTGTCATTACATGTCCTTTCTCTCTCACTAGACAACTTCTACACTTACTTATATACACACATCCATGCTTAGACAAACATTGACAAATCTGACAAGTTCACCTTTTCTCTACACACAACCTCTCAAGGGGAAATTCATTTTTTATCTATACCAAATGTTTTCTACAGTTGAATTCAACAGGATTTTAGCATTAACAAAACATTTTCTACAGTTGAGTCAGTAAGATTCCTTCACCAGCTAGAAGTTTAGCATGTAATAATAATTAACTCTTTCATCCCTATGTTACTTCAGTAGACTCTACTAAGCATTGATCTGGTAAAGTCCATTATGGTCTACAGTGGTGAAAGGGTTAATCATAACTGTACCAAATACATTTGATACAAACCAGTATTCTCTCCTTACAATCAAGAATTTTATTAATAAAATAGTTTAATAATAATGTTCAACATTTTGCAACTGGTTTTTTTTTTTATCCAAGTCCATAATTTGTAAATTTAGAAGGAAACATATTTGCAATGCCTTTGAAATTGCAATTAACATTCTAAACTGGTCTATTAAAAGCATGAAGTACACAATCAAATCGTTGTTTATTCCATTTTTCCTGTTGGTATAAATATGATTGTCATTTCACTTTCATTTTCACTGACAATATTTCAACACTACACAACAATTCACACGTTTGGCAGAAATATTAATAACAGTAATAATTTGAGGTTCTTATATACCGCTTTATCACAACCTACTTCGTAGGTCGTCTCCATGCAGATCACATATTATTATTCGTGGTTATAGGGCCTTTGCAACCAGCCAACATCTTTCTCAACTCCCTGGGCTGGAGCATACAGCCGGTGCTGCCATTTCGGCGCTAACAGCTAGCATTCAACAATTCTGGCACTTCCCAACCACATACTCATTTACAGCTGAGTAGACTGGAACAAGCAGAGTAAAGTATCTTGCTCAAAGATACAACACAAAGCCGTGCCGTCTAAAGCATAACAGAGAGAAAACAGATTACGAAGAGAAAAACAATGTTCAAAGAGAAACAACTCTTTCAATCTTTGAACATTCATCAGGCAAGAGAAAACAAAATAAAAAGTATTGAAGCTAACTATTTTGAGGCCATTTATATCTTCATTCAAATAGAATGACAACAAATTATAACAAGAATTCCATGGGCATTGATGTACCGCCTGCTCCCACTGATGACCATAGTGATTTTTTTTAGATTCAAGTCTAAATAGAACTGGCATGGACAATTCATATTGCATGGACAATTCATATCATAGGCATGATTAGACAGTTCGAACAATGGGACTTTTCACAAAATCCAATATGGCCACTGGTGATAACATATCAGGCTCAAGGTTACAACAACTTTCTACTGATTGATCATCAAGAAATCACCATGAAGATCAAACACAAGTTTCAAATTCAAAATCAGTTTTGAATATCTTTCTTCAAATTTTTGTATCAAAATAAAATTCAGAATTCATGAGGACTCCAATTTATTTACTAAACATCTTTTTCAGTTACCTGAAATTTCAGATAAGACTTGTTCTTTTTTTCTTATTGAACAGTTACTACTGAAATATATTCGGCAAATTCAATCAATGTAAATTATGGGTTTCTGACAAATTATCTACCTCATTAATCAAGACAGGTGTTTGGTAAGTCATGGTAATGCTGTTGTTACCTTAATCAAAGTACAAAGCACCCATGAACTCTGATACAACATGAGCAGTTTTGGAAATGAGAATTGTAGAACCAACAGATTGGTATTTTTTCAAGTTATTTGATTTAATATGATAATAGGATGGAATGCCAAGGTGAGAACAAGGGCCACTATTAAAGGAAGGGATGCTAATTATGTCAAATACTGTATTTATAAGCATAGTCAGTTTAGCAATCCTTATAGTGGAATACGCTATCAAAAAAAAATCAAAAACAATCTGACTCCAAAGTCTCCGGACTAGCAAGATTCAACTATAAGATCCAAAACATTATGCAGAGGTTCATTCATTTGCTCATAAACATAACTTAATAATGTGAGAATGTACAATATGAATTTCATATAGGTCTACCTTTCGTCAACATACAGGTAGACAGCCGTCCCATGTACACAGCTTACAACATGCACAAATCGACCACTCACAGGTGTTTGTACCGAGACACACATACAGGGACACATGTGTATCTAACACCTGTCACACACTGGCGATATTTAAATCTGCAACTTCTTAGTCACACATTTTCCCTTTAATTATGTCCAGAGTTATTCAAGCTTTGCAGTATTTGCCTAGTGTTTAGATCAGTGTGGGTGTAGTATGGTGGGGTGTGGTGGTTGACAACGGTGGACTAATGTTAACTAATACATGAAGTTACACGATACATGCTTAGTCCCTCGAGATAATTTTATTGATACTTCAGTAGTGTTGATAAATGATTTTGTATAAATTGATGTCGTCTGGTTGATACGTGTTTGACAAATTCATTTTCAATCAATGAAACATCATTTGGTCATCTCTCTTCGTTGCTAGTACTCTTTTGGTTATCTCCCTTTGTTGCTAGTACTCTTTTTGTTATCTCCCTTTGTTGCTAGTACTCTTTTGGTTATCTCCCTTTGTGACAAGTTTACTGACACCCTTTACCTATATAATGTCATTCTCTTGGCGGTTTTTAGGAGGGCAGGGAGGACTACAGAAAGGATACGTTCCTGTACGTGTGATCGCAGTAGCTGTGACAGCCTATCCGCATCTAAGGATCTGTCCGTCCTTAGAGCGTGACCTGGATGGGCAGGAATTTAAATTCAGAAGGCCCGGTAAGCTGGTGCTTACCCTCTCAAGTCGACCGAACACGGACTTTGTCCCATCTAGTGTAGACTATAAACCATTAAACCAACTTTCTACATGTAACTTGTCATAGGTATTCCAAGAGTGATCTCCCTTCCCCTGACAGGATTTTACTTTCCCTTTGTGATATGTTGTGGAGAGTCAGCCACCAGCTGTAGGTGTTCTAGTTTGGTAGATTTCACCCCGACACAATAGCCAACTCAAGATCACACAGCAGAGCTGAATTGTCAAATTAATTGCCAGTAAGTTTGTTCTGTACTTAATCATTATGGAAAATCTGGAGGGGTTTTCTTCAATTTTACAATAAATATGTGCTATAACTTTATTTTTAAAAAAATGTTTTGTACAAATAATTTCGCTGAATCTGTAAAAGCTTTGTACAATCTTACCCCATTTATACTAATCCTTCAAATAATTGCTAGTTTTGAATGAACCTTGAATAATTTTGAACATTTTTTTTTACATAAAATATAGGAATAGGAAATTTCAAGATTTATAAGTCACCAGTACAACCCACACTTATACACAAAACCATAACACGTTTGGAACTTCCACACATACACACATGTACAAAACTGTACTTCATTAATAGTCTATTTGTTCAATTTTATCATACAAACATGCAAAAATTACTTATATTGTGTCCATTCTTTTTGAAACACGACTTGAGTGTGATGAAAATTCAACACACCAACTTTGTACTGTAGCACACATTTGTCCATTGCTAATGAGAGTGGACAAAATTCTTCACTAAGCACCATCTGTCTTCCCCTAAGCTTGCCCGCCAAAGTCACATGGGCAAGTCAATCAATTCTGCAAACAAATTTCTAAAAATAAAAACATCGTTGTAAAATTTCCAGAATACTGCTTTGAGATTATTTTGATTTAAATTTGTGACAATTCCAAAAGTAATATTCATCGTTTTTTTATGTAACCCATTCAACTATTAAATTCTCAAATGAAATTCAGACTGAAAATTTAACAACTCTTGCGTTCTATTCATAGAATTCTAAATGACTATAAATAAATCTTTCACTGCGAGTTCTTCCATTCCAAAGTGTTATTTATAGAGTTGTGGCAGAAACGTCCCATTATTTCCAGGTCTTTCGATAAAGTCTCTAGAAATGGGATGATAATCACAGTCCAACTAACACGGAACTTCCTACGAAGTCTTTTCCACAAGTAAGGGAGACCACTGTAGCAACACGTGGACATTTTAACAGCATATCCGCAAATTATACGGTACCATGAATTTAAAAACTTAAAATCACTTAAAATGTACATCATATATGATCATTCTTGAATGGTGAAGATGGGTTTATCAAAGCCATTTGGTTTGATTCCCGCACGAAGTTGTCTTGTATTCTCTCTCCTGAAGTCAAAGTGTTCACTCTTCTGCAAACAGGCTGCATCATTTTCAGAAGATCATGTTCCAAGTCCTTTATGAAAAAAATAAACAACTCCATCCATCACGAGACTTTGAAAAAGGGTAATCTCCCTTTAAAAAACCTTTGGTAATGTTTTTGATGTCGGTGCTTGATACTCCCTTAATGTTCGACATCACCATGACGATGGGAATGAAAAAGTCTCCGACAGTCACCATAGGTAATATACATTAATACCCTATAAACAGTTGCCCTTATAATCCAGTGGCGAACCGCTTTGTCCAAAGCCGTGCAACTCGGTCATGTTCCGGCCGATTCTGGACATACTGTGTGGCAATGCTGCCCACCAGGGGGTCTGAGGGGTTACAGTCGGTCAGTAGAGAGCAAATGGATAGAAGGACCTTACTGATGGTCAGTGCTGGACTCCAGTTGTCCTTGAGGATATCCAAACAGATGACACCCTGACTGTTGATATTACAGTGGTAGATCCTTGTCCGGAACATCACCTGTAAACAGATCAAAGGTCATAGCATTTATCAGTGCACGTGGCAAGAGATCACAGTACGTACAGTAAAAGAGGTTTATAAGAACTCCTGAGGATCTAAGAAATGAATACATTGTAAAACATAACAGGTCAGGTTATGAATGTTCCCGTAAGATACAAATTTCTTTGCCAAGTAACATACTGTATACTAGAAAATGATCGCCCGTCAAACTTTCGCCATTCGCCAGAATAATTTATATTAATCTAGTTTTAGTTTTCTCCTTCACCTTTGATTACGATTTTTGTTATGTGCGCTGTTATGATTTATTCACCCACGTTATGAAGGGTGAAAATCTGAAAAATAAACCTATTATACCGTACTGTATCACAGGGAACACGACAATTTCCTATTGTACCGTACTGTATCACAGGGGACACGAAAATTTCCTATTATACCGTACTGTATCACAGGGAACACAACAATTTCCTATTGTACCGTACTGTATCACAGGGAACACGAAAATTTCCTATTATACCGTACTGTATCACAGGGAACACGACAATTTCCTATTGTACCATACTGTATCACAGGGAACACGAAAATTTCCTATTATACGGTACTGTATCACAGGGAACACGACAATTTCCTATTATACCGTACTGTATCACAGGGAACACGTCAATTTCCTATTGTACCGTACTGTATCACAGGGAACACGACAATTTCCTATTATACCGTACTGTATGTATCACAGGGAACACGAACATTTCCTATTATACCGTACTGTATGTATCACAGGGAACACGACAATGTCCTATTATACCATACTGTATCACAGGGAAAATCAGCATACAAAATAATATTATAGATCAAGGTTTTTCTTCATTCACAATTAATGTACGTATTAAACATGTCTCAATATTTCAAGACGGACTAGTTGGACCTTAAAATGTTTCTACACGTTTAATACGTACATTTGTAGTGTATAAAGTAAAAAAATTGGTATTTTACATTTTTCCAAAATGAGGAATCTTAGTGAAGATATACAAAATAGTAATCTTAATTTTATTCATTACATATAATTTTTTGTTAGCTTGTTCTGATGTATGAGGCTATACCACTTGAATACTACAACACAGAAACTGTAATACCCAATGCAGACTTCATTACATTTATATTCCTTTCTAGATAGGCAGAGTTAAGCAGCACGGGTAAAGTACTGCTGAAAGACAATACCATATCTAATTAGCTGTAGAATCAAACCTATGATATGCTGTGGTCAATAGGCCGATCAACTACCAACTGTTCTCTGCAGCCTTTAAATACTGTAAAATAGAAATTCTCACATGTGGAAATTTTCCCGTTTTGACGCTTTAATCTGGTAGTGGTATGGGATTATTTTTACGTTTGCAATACATCTATGGAGATATTTGAAAGTTAACATTTTTGTCCTAATCTAATTGACATGAAAAATGTGAAAATTTTCACTTTTACAAAACAAAGGTATAGAGTTTCTAGCTCTACACAACTGTTAGAAACAGAGGTTTGTTCGACATGACTCGAGACATTTCTGTTTTGGTAAAATGACCTGTAACTTACCTTCGGAGGTTTAAATGGATAGTCAGATGCAAAATGGATGTCCAGGAAGAAAACGCCACCCTCGTATACAGAGCCAGGAGGTCCGAGTATCGTGGATACCCACTCGTACATATTGTCTCCTTTAGGGCCGGCACTGGAAATACAGCAAGTCAGTAGTATTGATTAGTGCCACAGATAAATATGTAAATAAATGTAAATATCTCTAGTGATCCATCCTAGAGTAGGTCACTTAGGTACCAACAATATGGTGACATGGGCAACAATGTCTTAACATCTCACCTGGAAATATAATTTTAAAAGGATCGTTGAGGATCCCTTTCCCACTACTGACAAAACATTTTAAAATTGCCCTGTAGCTTTATACATGTGGAGTGACCTCCCCTTAATTTTGTTTTGGATATTGCTGCAGTGTGACTGGGTTGAGAAATAGTCGCTGATCAGGTATATAGGTCAGTTGGTTAGAGCGTCTGTACTGTGATAGGAGGTCTAGGGTTCAAATCCCAGTACCTGTCTCACCATGCATGCTGCTTTTTTACTTTCCGAACACTGTCTTTGATTTTTCATTTTTTTTATTTCATCGGTATTTTTTTTCCATTAAACATTTCTGAAAAGTATGGGTTTATTAATACATAGATACAATTTTTGGCAGTGATACAGGGATCCTAAATATGTTTTTCATTTCAATTAAGATCTTTGAAACTATTTCATAAAGTTTTTATTTAAGTTGAGCTCTGCTGTGATAAAAACTGTAAACTTTGCTTGGACAGTGAAGGTTGTGTAAATCATATGAAATGTTAACAAATTAGAACTTTTTTTTCGTTATATATTACCAAATATATATGCGAGTATTAGTATTTACCAGCAAAGTACACGGATTTAAGTGTTCAGTGTAATCATCCTCGCTTACTGTAAATTATGCCTTCACATTTAATCATAATTACTATGTATATTATATATGTTGTTTAGTAATGTTCGCTTTAATGATAAATTGCCACCATTACGACAGGCGAAAATTACACTGCAGCGAAAATTTCTCGGTATACATTAATCACAATGTCTGCCTTCACAAAGCGAAATTTTACATCAAATAGGAGGTCAGCCATATGACAAGTTAATGCGCCAAACAGTCGAGTCAGGTGAACAACATTTATTTTACATATACATGTACTTGTATTTGTCTAGTTACAACATCAAGTCACCAGGTACTGATGTATGTGTATCATTTTTTTTTTTTTTTACATATTTAAAGTTTATATTCAAAATATTTTGTTTTGACTTGTCAATCATTCAACATTTTTTTTTATTTAAGTGGAAATATTCTATTTTCTTTTAAATCTGAAAATGCAACCATCTTCAATTTTCACTATACCAACATTACCACATTCAATATATTAAGACACTTTCAATGAATAATACATAAAACAGAATATTATGAATATCGGTGAAAGGGGGAAGGCAGCACATCGAACGGTCTGAAACAAGGGGGACAGAAAGAGATGCCTCCTCCACTAGAAGTATCAGTCTGTAAACTATTCAGTCCATCGCCACGGTAACACTGTCTCCCGTTAGCTCTCTACATCTGTCAGCTCTCACACACTACCACAGCAATCCCCAAGACTGTATGAATTTTATTGATTATTCTCAAGATTCTAAAAACTTTCTCAGCGATGAAACATCAATTTGCTTGAATTACAATCACAGAGGAAGAATATGTTCTTGTCAGATGAAACAAACAACTTGAGGAAGCTTGTGGCTGAGCCCAAGGTTACAAGCTCTTCGCCCAAGGTCATGATTATTTGATTCTTGACATTCTGATACTCCATGATCGTATTTGTGAAGAAACAACACATCACTAGATATATACATCAGTTTTCTTTCCGTACTTAAAACTTGAACTCTGCCACTGATCATGATTCTAAGGGTGGATGGACACTGACTATCGTATAGTTTGATTCTTCTTCTGACAAAAGGTTTGGTTTGTTTGTGTTTTACGTCCTATTAACAGCTATGGTCATTTAAGGACGTGCCAGGTTTTAGTGATGGAGGAAAGCCGGGTTCCCCGAGAAAAACCACAGACCTATGGCCAGTACCTGGCGACTGCCCCACATCGGCCTCAAGCCCGCGACCCAGTGGTGGAGGGCTAGTGGTAGCAGAATGTCAGACGTCTTAACCACTTGGCCACCGTGACCCCATGACAAAAGGTTCTAAACAAATCATTAAAATGGATATTGGTTGTTAAATACTAATAATTTCCAGTTACCTCCCTTCCATCACCTTGTGATTTTAATCCTATTACAACTAACCTATACTTTGCTCAAGTTAAGAAGGATTAAATAATTCAGCCAAATGTCACAATCATTTGAACTAGAAAGGATCAGATTCTTTTTATTATCAATATTATTGTTTCTTTCAAGAGAATTTTTTTGTATGAAAATATCGGAATTTTGTTGATATTGCAGTCTGATATTGTTTTTTCAGGATAAAATATTTTTCCAAGATTTCATGTTTCTTTCATCAATAATATAAACCTACACCCACTGAAATGAGTTATATACAATATGTATATATAATTTTGTATAGTGAATACTTGAATGTAAAGCCCTTGCACGTCTTTTTAACACCTCCCTGTAACTGATACCTTTATATAACATCTTTTTTACACCACCCTGTAACTGACACCTTTATATAACATCTTTTTTACACCACCCTGTAACTGACACCTTTATAAAACATTTTTTTAACATCTCCCTGTAACTGACACCTTTATATAACATCTTTTTTTACACCACCCTGTAACTGACACCTTTATATAACATTTTTTTAACACCTCCCTGTAACTGACACCTTTATATAACATCTTTTTTACACCACCCTGTAACTGACACCTTTATATAACATCTTTTTTACACCACCCTGTAACTGACACCTTTATATAACATCTTTTTTACAACACCCTGTAACTGACACCTTTATATAACATCTTTTTTACACCTCCCTGTAACCGACACCTTTATATAACATCTTTTTTAACACCTCCCTGTAACCGACACCTTTATATAACATCTTTTTTACACCTCCCTGTAACTGACACCCTATGTTTCTACAGAAGCATCCTCTGCATAACAAACTCTTGTACAGAAATACCATTTGTACCTTCTGGTAACATAAATGTAAGCTTTATAAAGCTTACATTTATATAAATGAAAAGACCATGACCACATTTTCTTTATGAAGCTTGTGTCTACGAAAATCTTTCTGTTCAAAACTACCTAAGAATACTGGTCACATTTGTATTAATACTTAACTCTTAAATTGACGATGTCTGTATATATATTAAACAACTCTTTTTTAAAAGACCACCCACGTTAAAGCAACAGCTGCAAGAAACATCAACACAGCAATTGGTTAAAGACATTTTGATTAACATTAAAAGCATGGGTAGTGCAGAAAAGTAAGACATTTGATATTTAATTGCATTAATTGAAATGACAATTGTAATAAAATGATCAATAAAACAGATAATAGGGTTGACTGTACATTTGGGAGCCTGGCGTATCGGATATCTAGCAGTCCTTCAGTAGGTACATATTAGTACATAATGGCTCAGGGTCACTGCATGGTCTCCGGAGCATGTAGCACGAACCATCACACACTTGTAGAATCAATGCAAAAGACATGACAATGGCGAGGAGTAAATGTGGAGGTAATTGACTGTTATGTATGACAACAATCTGGCTTTATCAGATAATGACCGATAGACAAGTTCCTGTCTGTGTTGTGACCGACTATCACTACAGCATCACAACCGTTCATCAGTAACGCCACCTATTGCCTGGCATACATACAGGGATACATTTGTAAGACTTATATTAACATTGATACACATAACCTCTGTACAACATCAACCTCTGTATACTGTCAGTCTATATACAATCAACCTCTGTATACTGTATGCATCAGTATATTGTGAGCCTCAGTATACTGCAAGCCTCTATACACTGTCAGCCTCTGTATACCATCAACATCTGTATATTGTCAGCCTCTGTATACTGTCAACCTCTGTACACTGTCAACTTTGTATGTTGTATCACCAACCTCTGTACACTGTCAGCCTCTGTATACCATCAACCTCAGTAAATTGTCAGTCTCTGTCTAGTCATCCTCTGTATAACATGAACCTCTGTATACTGTCAGCCTCTGTAGACCATTAACCTATGAAAAATGTTGGCCTTTGTATACTGTCAACCCAAGTATATGTTGACTTCTGTATACCATCAACCTCTATATACTGTCAGCCTCTGTACACCGACATTCATCACTGAAGAATCACAACCCTCACTCACTGATAGTTTAGTTAAATTTTAAGTATTCATTCAGACCACCTCTGTATGTTGTTGACCTCTGTACACCGACATTCATCACCACAAAATCCCAACCAGCACTCAGTGAGTCTAGTTACGTTGTATGTATTGATTAACCACCTCTGTATACCATCAACCTCTGTATACTGTCAGCTTCTGTATACTGTCAACCTATGTATACTGTCAACCTCTGTATACTGTCAGCCTCTGTATACTGTCAACCTGTATACTGCCAACCTCTGTATATTGTCAACCTCTGTATACCGTTAACCTCTGTATATTGTCAACCTCTGTATACTGTCAACATCTGTATATTGTCAACCTCTGTATAGTGTCAACCTCTGTATATTGTCAACCTCTGTATAGTGTCAGCCTCTTTAAACTCCTGCAGTTCACCAACATCCTATTTATCAGCTACAACAACATGACAGATTATCAATACCTTCATTCAACATCAGTCATAAAATATAGACAAAACATGTATAGGCCTATAGCTAATATCAATGAAATGAAATGTACAACCACTGTATATCACTAACCTTTGTATAGCCAAGATTATTACAAAAGCATTGTTGACTCTTCATACAGATCATCTGATCTACATGTATATTTTACCAGGGCTTTTTTAAGTATCATTTCGGGCCGGAATTTTCATATCGGTGCACCATAAAAATAATGTGTACTCTAGATCTACTTAAGTTCAAACATACTCGCAGAATGTTTACATTAGGTAGACTATGGTATTATGTATATTATTAACAAATTGCCTTGA